TTTTTTTTTTTTTTTTTTTTTTTTTTTTTTTTTTTTTTTTTTTTTTTTACATTTAGTTTAAGTTTTATCATGTATCTGTTATTCACTCCTCTTAATTTTCTTTTATTTCTAGCATTCGTTTTCTTTCCGGTCCCCATTGTACTATTCTCTACAAATACAAAATTTGTATGCACAATCAATTAAAAATCTACAACATATGTTTGTCATGACCAAACAAACAAGTATACGCCAAGTCCTGCAAATGAGCCCGTGTAGATTGGGATAATATTAAAGTTGAAAGGTATTTGTTTATTTTTTATAATTCTGACAATTTTTGTTGATTCTCTCTCTCTCTCTCTCTCTCTCTCTCTCTCTATCGTATTGAATATAGAATTGAAGCTACAAATATTGAAGAGGTCAACCAGGCTTTCCAATTATTGATGATATACTCGATGAAGGTCTTAGAATTGGAACAAACTTCATATGTGTAGATGATGCTTGGGACATTTGGCAAAAAACTAGGCTTTGGTGTTCGAAATGATCATTCAAGCAAGTGGAGAAAGGATGGAGTAGTTACAAATGCCGTATCCATATGTTATAAAGAGGAATTTTGTAAGTACGACGAAAGGGTCAACGATAAATCACGTCAACACTTCCAGGTAAAAACGGGTTGCCAATCAAAGCTAAATGTAGAGCTAAACTCGATTTCTAGAAAATATATTGTCAAGGATTTTGCGGCGACTCATAATCATGAACTTGAGTCAAGTAAAACCGTACATATGTTCTATTAAATGTAAATGTGTTTCAAACATTTGCCATCAACATAGCAGATGATTAAGAATTACCCTAAGGCAACTCAAGTGTTATTGACTAGGGAGGCTTAAGAAAGATCAAAAGACATATTTGAGAAATAGAAGAAAGAAAGAAAAAATGTTAGGTGAGCTTGGTAGTGTTATGAGATATTTCGAGGGAAAAAAACTATAGATGCTTCATTTTCATGATTTTGAGTTTGATAACGGTGGCCTCGTGAGTAATATATTTTGGGTTGATGGTAAAATGAAATTTGACTACATTGATTTTGGTGATGTTATTACAATTGATACAACATATGGGACTAACAACTAACTGAGACCCCTGGGCGTTTTTACTGATTTTAATCATCATATGAAAATTACTATTTGGTGTTGGCAACTTATACAACGAAACTGTAAAGTCATTTGCTTGGCTCTACGAGACGTTTTTTATGGAATAAAGTAGGGAAAAAAAAACCTTACCATATTTACCTATCAAGATGTGCAAATGGTTAATGCACTCGATGTGGTTATGTGTAGGGTCAAACAAGCCGAGCCGAGTCGAGCATTGGCGTTATTGAGCAAGAATGATTTTTTTTGGCTGCTCGAGCTAGAGCTCGAGCTCGATTTTTCACGCTCGCACTCAACTCGAAAAAAAAATAAAATAGCTCGAGCTTGGCTCAAGGTCGACTCGAATTCAAAATGCTCGAACTCGGCTCGAGTTCGGTTCGAAAAT